CCCGAGACACCTTATTGTAGGCTGTCTATGTAGGACTTGTACTTAGTATAGGTTCAATGTAAGAGGTTAGTATTATTATTTTTTTTAAATGGTTTAACATAATTAACGTATTATTTTGCACTCTTTTCATATTAATATTAATATTTTTTTTTCACTTGTTGCATCCATCAATTAATTAAAACTAGAAATGCTAATTCCATAAGAAATTCAAATTTAAAAATCATTTTTTTCACCTCTATTTTAAGTAACAAAAATTAATTCATTATCGGCAAACTACATTTACATCAAAAATAAGTGTATGACGATTTTATCCCATTGTTCTTAATTTCACAATGTATCATATTTATTTATATATTTGGTAACACAGTTAGTATTTCGGCCTTTTTTGTTCAAGAAGGGAAATAAATTGATCATCAAGTCCGTTTTATTCTTATATATATATATTACAAAGTATTGGAATATTTAAGCATGAATTAAGAAGTGAAAAAATTTTTATTAAATTTTATTTTTTTTTATTTTTTTTTTTGAAAAAAATTAAAAGAAATAAAATAAAACCAAACTGTAATCATTAATATTATTATCTAAATAAATACACATTCATTCGCTCTCCCTCTTACCAATCCGAGACTCAATCTATTTATAATTTCAACTTCTTCAATTTCATCACACCATCATTACCCTTATACCATGACTCATACAAGCGATTTTTCATATTTATGTAAGTTTAAAATTTCATTTAAATTCGTTTTCAACATGGTCCGATAATTTCAATAATAATAATAATCAAATTTTAAATTTTCTTTTTTTTTTGAAAATAAAAGCCCGTGCGATGTCCACATCATATACTTCACTTTGGTTTTTACAACACGTTTGGTTTATTGATAGGTTTGCATCATTGCGGTGGAATCGTGTTAAAAGATTCGAATTGGTAATAATAATAATAATAATAATAATAATAATATAAATACCTCGTAGAAATTTTGAATTAATTAAAAAAATTTCGTTTCGTTATATTTTTTAGAAATCGGTAATAACATTATTGTTGTTGTTAGCATGTCCAACAGAAGCAATATATGATATTTCAATAGTAATTATCAAATATCAAGAAGGATATTTACCGGGTTCTTCTAATCAAGGTGAATACAAATCGAAACCTCAATCACTTTGGAGTAAAGAAAATCAAGACTTTGTTGTGCCAATAAATTACGTTCTTTGTGCCACTCTCAGTGTCCAAACGTAAATATGCTTCTTCTATATATAATTTTATTATTTAAATTGATTGATCGACTAATTGGCTCATTTGGATTTTTTAGTTGCTTGTTATTTTTATTACAATCATTTTGGAATTATCTCGCAAGTAATTTGACAAGATCATCATTTATGGGAAGTCTTGGTAAGCAAAAAAAATTGATTTAGAAAATTCAAAAAAAAAAACAAAGTTATTAATTAAATAGCTAATAATTGACTTCTTCCAAATCATTCTAGAATTTAAATTATATATTGTGTTTTCAATATGCAGCGCAATTCTCTTCCCTACATTACAATTTTTTTTCTCGTCAAATCAATTAAATTCTGAGATTGCACCACAATTTGCATACGGTATAATTATGTTGATAATTGCATTGCTAGGATTTAGATCTGATCATAGATTTAAAAAACTATTAATGCAAACAAGACGCCTAAATCCAACAGTCAATGTTCTCAGTAAATTAAATTATTTCAGAGTAAGTATTAATAATTAATTTTATTTCGTTTCCTTTAAGGAAAAATTGTTCTAATTAATTAATTTATTTATTTACTCGTAATAGTATATGAATCAATATTTAACATTGGGATTGCTTTCAGGATCAGCATCACTTACAGTGTTATCAATTGATGGATTGACAACAGCCAAATATTTAAATACCACCAAAATCTATGCAGATTTACTTATGGCTCAATTGAATTTTTCAATTTGGGCTGTATTTGTCTCTTTAATGTTAATATTTTATCCAGCAAAAATTAATGATACTCCATCATCGCCCATTAATAACAACAACAATAATATGATTAATAGTAATAATAGTAATAATAGTAATGTTCCATCAACACCAAAAATATTATATTCACCTACAATTGATAGATCAACAACACCATCAATAAGGAATGGTGATTATACAATTAAAATAACAGACAATGAGAATAATAATAAGAATAAAAATTTATTAAATGTTGAAAATTCTTTTGATGATGGAATGAGTGGATCTACTGTGGCTTTCAATAAAAAATCAAATAGATTTAATTTTCTAAAAAAATTTAGATTTTAATAGATTTTACTAATTTTCTTTTTGTAACATAGTCATTATTTTATATTAATTTGTAAAAAAGCTTTTCATATTTAATGTTTCTATAATAATAATTTTAAATGCAGTAAAAATACACCATCACATACATAAATCAATTAACCCACCTCAATTAACTCACCAATCACACATCACATTCCATCAATATATATACTAAAATTATCCAAAAATAAAAACCTTTAAAATTTTTTCTTTAATAAATATATCTTCCAAAGAATATAATTTTTAAAAAATCTCACCGGAAATAATTTCCATTTGACAATCTTCCCATATTCTTCCCAAAATTTACCATACTTCCCCCTACAACGTGCATCATCTCTCCAAATACGATGAACCAGCAAAATCGTCATGTAGATTATATAAAAGTAAGGTAATAAATGATTAAATCCACAGGTAAGACACATGGCAAAAGAAATCAATAAATCTCCAACATAATTGAAATGACGTGAAATTCCTGTTTTTATTGATTTTCCCATAGAAAAAAAATTGTTAAATGAATCCCTCTAATTGTCAACATTATTATAATTAATACTTGCCCCAGTATCCACTAACAAGTAAAAGACTTGAATGGATTTTTCCATCACTTGTTAAATATTGTGTTTTGATAACTTTGGCTGGTTTTCCCCAAATCTTACAATTACCATTGGTTTTTCTTACAACATCTTTTTGATGATTGACTGTTCTAAAAATATAATATCCTGCCAATCCAATCGATAGAATAACAAAGAAATTCAACCAGGGCAAATCTACTGTATTTCTAACTAAATAATGTGATTGTATTGTATACTATACAAATATACAAATTTATATATGTGTGTGTGTGAAATAACAGAATCATTATAACTAAATACAATATTAAAAGCCTTACCATCCACGGAAGCCATACAGTATCACCCCATGATAAATAAAATCCAAAATGATCATGTGCAATATCTAATATTTATATATGTGCATACATATTATGTTTATATTTTATATATACATTTATTATATGTATGTAACAGAATATTTACCAATTGTTCTAAGATACCAATCTTCGTTATAAAAGAAATCCAAAACATAAACCAAGTGCAAAAAATTCAATAAAATCATTGAATTCGTTACATACCCTAAATATATACACATGCAAAATATGAATATGTATAGTAATTAATATGATCAAATCCATCACACCAAAAAATTAATATAATACCAATTTTGTTATATTGAGCAGCAGCAAATGAGAGATTTATTAAGGTCCAAGCAATTATTCCAGGCCTTCCATTATGAAACAGTTTGAAATCCCAATATTTCCCAAATCTTGGGTTCATCTCAATACCCATCAATAGATCATAGATAAAACTACCAGAAAATTTACGATCTTCTGGGTGTGATGGACTTACATATGCTTTGATGTAAGCAAAGAATGTAAGGAAAAACCCGTAGATATTTGCTGCTACAAACAATTCTCCCCATTTATCATGGATGATTGATGCTTTCCATAATTCAAAATAAAATGCTCCAAAAATAAAGATCAAATGCGTTATAACCCATGCCAAAAGCCCATTCACCTATATTTAATTATATTTGCATTTATGAATAATATAAACAAATTATTATAGTCATCATCATAATAAAATTACTTTATATGGTAGAATATGTCCTGCTGGTGTTTGTTGTCCATAACCAATTTTGGCTGGTAAAAATGCATAAAGTAATCCTTGGAAAATCAGCCATCCAAAATAAATCTGCAGCCCTTCCCACGAAAAACTTGGTAGTTTCTGTAGAAAATACTCATTAAAAGATTCCTTGGAAAATTCCATCATTTCAAAAAGATGAATTGGCTCGTAAAATGAACATTGATAGTGAGTACAAATGGTCCAAAATAATGTCACAAGAATTGGACAACAAATAATTATAATTGCTGAAAAGAATACAGTGATATATGTTATATCTATACATTCAAGCACGTAAAAGTATGAAATTAGGAAATTAAAAAAATTAAATTTAAATTTAACTCGATAATTTGAACGAAAAATTTGCAAATACCTTTATCTCGACCCCACGTCTTTCCTTTTTGTGCCTTCAAATCTGTTTTAGTCAAACTTTCATCAATTACTGTATTTGAAATGTTTCTTTTCTTTAGAGAAGACATTTTTTAAAAAATTTTT